TTTTTTTTTTAAAAAAAAGATTTATTTGAGAGAGAGAGAGTGAGAGAGAGTATGGGGGGGAGGGTCAGAAAGAGAGGGAGATGCAGGCTCCCTGCTAAGCAGGGAGCCTGATGTGGGGCTCAATCCCAGCACCCTGGGATCCTGACCTGAGCCGAAGGCAGACGCTTAACGACTGAGCCACCCAGGCGCCCCAACGTACATCTTTTCTAACAACATCTTTTCTTCCTCTGGCTGTTCTTACGATTTTAAGCAATTTGACTTTGCTGTGCTTTGTTGTGCTTGGTGTATTGTGTATGTGTGCACATATGAGTGTCCATCCCTGCTCAGGATTGTTCAGTTTTCTTTGATCTGTGGGATTACAGTTTTTATCAAATTTGAAATTTTTCAGCATTTGGAATGCAACTGTCTGACTGCCTTGTGTGATATCTGGGAATTCAGCTTATAGTTTTCCATTTGTTCTTTGCCCAACCTTATGGAGTATCATCCTAGAAATGAGTGGTCTAGTGCTCAGAGACTCATGATGACCACTTTGCAGATTTCTAGAGGTCTTTTTGGCTTGGCTCCCTAATCCTGAACTCATCCTCCATATGTTCTGTTTGCTTCAGCCTCTTCAAACACGTATCTCTATTTCCTGAAATCATACTGCTGGACTCTTCTTGTGTTTCCTCTTAAGACCTTAGCGAGGAATTTGTGTCTGGGACTAAGGGGATTACCTCGTTTGTTTCTCTTTTCTGGGGGATCACGGTCTTATGTTGCATATTGCCCAGTGTTTGAAAACACTTTTTCACATATTTTGCCTAGCTTTTCATTGTTTACAATGGATAAACAAGTCTTGGTACTTGTTAACCTATCGTGGCCTAGAGCACAAGTATTTATGTTTAGAGAAATTTATAATCCATATTTTACAATCTTATTTTAGTGTTTTAAGCTAACTACTTCAGTTTTTTATATTCAAAAAATATGTAAAAATACTTTTCAAGTATAACAAGTTTTTATGAAGTTTAAAAGTACTTTACCCAGGGGCATCTGGGTGGCTCAGTCAGTTAAGCACCTGCCTTGGACTCCGGTCATGATCTTGGGGTCCTGGGATTGAACCCTTTGTTGGGCTCCCTGCCCAGCGGGAAGTCTGTTTCTCCGTCTCCCTCTGCCCCTCCCCTCCTGCTCTCTCTCTCTCAAATAAATAAGTAAAATCTTGAAAAAAACAGTGCTTTACCATATACACATCCATGTACACACATACCAGGTTTATATATGTTTAGATGAATATTCTCAATATTTAAATGTTGTCAACACAATAAAATTTTTCAGGATGTCAGGCTAGGAAAACAGTGTTTACAAATTGTTTTGTTTTGTTTTGTAATTTATTTGAGAGAGAGAGAGACAGCACAAGTCTGGGGGATAATTAGATAGTTGTGTGTAGACCGAATCTGTTGGTCTTCTCTACTACTACTCCTGGAAATGTTATAACTTAGGTCATTACTTATGTGACTTTTTTTTTTTAAAGATTTTAGTTATTAGAGAGAGAGAGGAGGGGGCGCGAGCGGGGGTGGGGAGAGGGAGAACCAGGCTCAATACCAGGACCCTGGGGTTAGGACCTGAGCCGAAGGCAGACGCTTAACCGATTGAGCCACCCAGCCTCTATTTATGTGAGTTTCTTAACATTTTTAGGACTTACTTGTAAGACTTAGCTATAGGTAATTAGTTGAATCAAAATGCATATTAAACTAGAGGCAACTGAATATAAGTTCAGCATGTTTTAATTCTAAATTTGATACATGGACATATTTTTAAAAACCTGTGAGTATTTGAAATAGATATTATTTTCCTTGTTTCATTCAATAATTTTACGCATTTAGGAAGATGAACCACAGGAGGATGCTAAAGAATTGCAGCAAGGTAAACCATACCATTGGAGAGACTGGTCAGTCATTAGGGGAAGGGACTGCTTATATATATGGAGTGATGCAGCAGCCTTGGAATTATCTAATGGCAGTAATGGATGGTTCAGATTTATCTTGGATGGAAAACTAGCCACCATGTATTCAAGTGGTAGTCCTGAAGGTGGATCGGATAGTTCAGGTAATATTTTGTTTCTTTTAAAGTGTTTTACAAGTTTCTCTAGTTTTGATGATTTGTTTTTCTGCTAATTATTTTTGCTAGCATTGTCATAGAAATAGCACATTTTTGATGATCATTTGGCCAATTTATTTAATATCAACAGAGAAAAACTGTTGTACCATGAAAGCATTTAAGAAATGCCTTTTTATTGTATGAGACAAGGAATAGCACTGTTACCTACTTTTAATCTCTCTAATGTTTTAGGTAAGCTACCTCTTATCATGTAATGATGAATTGTATGTGTGTGAAGCCTTCTCAAGTTGTATCTTTTCCAAAAGCCCTATATGTTAAAAAATTATGCCTGTAGGGTTGCTTTTATGCCTGAACCTAAATATATCAAACCAGTGAGAGTATGCCAAAGAAAAAACTCTGCTAATTAAGTTTTTTATATACAATAGATATTCCAACAGGTAATTTTCTTTTTATTAAAAAAAATAAGGAATATTTGAAAAGAATGAGGTTTTGAAATAATCATTTTGTCTTTATAGAAAGCAGAAGTGAATTCTTAGAGAAGTTACAAAGAGCTCGAGGCCAGGTAAAGCCTTCTACTTCAAGTCAGCCTATACTCTCAGCACCAGGACCCACTAAACTCACTGTAGGAAATTGGTCACTAACTTGTTTGAAAGAGGGAGAAATTGCTATTCATAACTCAGATGGTCAGCAAGCAACAATACTGAAAGAAGATTTACCTGGTTTTGTATTTGAATCTAATAGAGGAACCAAACATTCATTTACTGCAGAAACTTCTCTGGGTAAGTTATATAGAATATATAAGTTTAGTAGATAAGAATAAATGAGTATCTTAAATTGCAATAAAATAAATTCTGTGAATTTTTTTTTTTTTTTTTAAAGGTTCAGAATTTGTGACTGGTTGGACCGGTAAAAGAGGCAGAAAACTGAAATCTAAATTAGAAAAAACAAAGCAAAAGGTATATTTGTGGGATTTGCTTTTTCTTTTTTTTTGCTGTTTATACTAACATGGTAAGGTTTCATTGGTATATTCAAGCATTTAAAAAATTGAGCCATATAACACAAGTTACCCTAATCTAACATATTTTGTTTTTCTGTGCTCATTATTTTATGTTCCACAGTACGTACACATTTACTTATAATTTTATACACATGCTAAACACAAACATTAAAACAATTAAAATGTGTAAGACAATAAAATTTAAATTTTTTTACTTATTAATGTCACAGAAACTTTAACTCATGCTTTATTATTGGTAGTAATGTTTTTAGTGATACAGTGGGATTGAAAATACATCATTATATTTTACAATCCTGATTTTACAATCCTGATTTAATACTTTATAATAAAGCGACTTGAATGCCTGGTTCTATATTCAAATATTTTGATGCTTAAAGGTCATCTTAGGTGAAATTACTGTTTCAAAAAGATATCGGAGCAAGTGTTTACTGACTCCACCTTCAAAATCACAGTAATAATTTTTAAATTCTATCGATTAAGTATGCATTTTTTTTTTTTTTTTAAATAAGGCCAAGGGACCCCTGACTGGCTCGGTACATAGAGCATGGATGGGACTCTTGATTTGGGGGTTTTAAGTTCGAGCCTCACGTTGGATGTGGAGATTACTTAAAAATATAAACCAGCATATTTCCATCTTTATTATATCGATTCTTGATTTTTATTTTTCATTTTTAAAAGAGAAAATAATCTCATAATTAGATTCAGTATTTTCTGATGGCAGAAATTTTTATTTTATTTACAATGATATAGAATAGTTTTTTCATACAGTATATGAAGCATGCTTTTAGGTGTTTGGGATTGGGGGCTTACTGTGTTTTTTATGGCTTTGGCCTTAGAAATAGTAGTAATAGGTTTTATTTGGAGCAGTTATATATAACATGTTTATGTCTTAATTTCTATTTGTTAATGTGTTGGGCCATCCTAAAGATATTTCCAGATGCTAGACCTTGGAAAGAAATATTTTATTTATGTATTTAGATAAATATGTATTATCTTTATAGCTATAGGTATTATTTTGTGATTGCTTTTTTGTTTTTAAAACAAATGTGAGGTCAGAAGTTTTTTCTAATTCAGGGTTAAGGGCATTTGAGGAAGAAATATCTCAAGTGAAGATAGCCATTAGATGCTAAAAGGAATTTGAAGTAAATACAGTCCATTTTTGTTATTCATAGTAGTTGTGTTATGTAAAGCTTCTGTGAATACTGAACCATTGCTCTTAGGGGAAATACAGGGTTAGGTTCCTTTGAGGCTCTGGTCACATTTTTTTTTTTTAAAGATTTTATTTATTTATTTGACACAGAGAGATACAATGAGAGAGGGAACACAAGCAGGGGGAGTGGGAGAGGGAGAAGCAGGCTTCCTGCTGAGCAGGGAGTCCGATGTGGGGCTCGATCCCAGGACCCCAGGATCATGACCTGAGCCAAAGGCAGAGGCTGAATGACTGAGCCACCCAGGCGCCCCTTTGGTCACATTTTTGTAACTGATCCATACATAACCTTATTTTATGTGTCTTTCGGGGCGCTTGGGTGGCTCAGTTGGTTAAGCGACTGCCTTCGGCTCGAGTCATGATCCTGGAGTCCTGGGATCGACTCCCACATCTGGCTCCCTGCTCAGCAGGGAGTCTGCTGCTCCCTCTGACCCTCCCCGCTCTCATGTGCTCTCTCTCTCTCATTCTCGGTCTCTCAAATGAATAAATAAATAAATAAAATCTTTAAAAAAAAAAATTTTATGTGTCTTTCTGTTTAAAGACACCATGTTTAATGTGTATTATTAATTTGTTAACACTGAACTTGTGGCCAGTAGCACTTTCCTGCCTGAATGAAGCTTACCTAACACACATATTTTCTCCATAAGACACACATCGTGCCTTCTTGTGTTTAGAAACACTGGCCCGCACTTCAGTACTATGTTTGGTGGCCATTTTAAATAGTGAAAGCACCAACAAAACCACAAAAATGTTAAAAATGTGGCACAAAATAGAGTGTGGAAAGGACACTTGTTCATAGAGAGCTAACACAAGTATGACACTTGTTTAAAGGTAGAGTTCACCTTGTTTGACCTCACCTGAGAACATGCACATGAGGCAGCTCCCAAGGTTTTGTTGCACTGTGCATGTCCACAAGTGACTGTGAAAGCATTGTAAATATTGATTTGGGGATTGCAAATAAATTTTAGTGAGTAGTTGAACTCACAAATACAGAATTCTCAAATAATGAGGATCAACTGTTATTTTTTATAAACCTACCACTGAGCTCTCTCAGGAATTTCTTGTAATTCCTGAAAGGTTGTATTAATCAACCAAATTTAGACTCAGAGGGAACTGAAATTTCACAATGCAGAAGAAAAGTAAGAAGTAGAATAAATCAAGGAGAACTAGTCTCAGTCCTGTATTTTCATGTTCTTAAGAAATGTATGATTATTGACTCTGTTTCTTAAAGTCACTAGTAACTCATTGGCCATGTGGCTGTTCTTTGGGTATGGAAGTAGTACATATCAAAATAGACTGATTTTAGGTAAAAGTAATTTTAACTATGAATTTTAACCTTCATTTTACTTATTAATACTGTTTTATAAAGGGTAGTGTCTTAAATGTTGTCTAACAGAGCTTACTTTCCTCTTAATTCTGAAAGGCATACCAAAATAGAATGAAAAAGTACTATTAATTCATTTCAGGAGTGAATTTTTTTCTATTACATTAGAGTTATGCTAGGTTAGTTTGTGATTTAAATGAAATTACACAAGTCCTAAATTTACATTATTTAAGCAAATATTTTTAAAGACTGTATGTACTGAACTTTATCAGACCCAAGCCTGGGACACATTAGTTTCTTTTTAATTTCAATTTTAATTTTTTTTTTTCAAGTTCCAAAAAGGCTTTATTACATACAGAGGGGGAGGGGTTCAGTCCTTCTTGGCTGCCTCTTTCCTCATGGCTGCCAGGACATTGCTCAGCTCCTCTCTCTTCCTCTTGGCATGGAAGTGTGTCCCTGCTCTTTTCTTGATGACCTTGAGGGTGTAGTTGTCCTTGGAGACCTCAAGCAGCTCCATGGTCCGCCGCTGATATGGGATGAAGCTGCACACCTCTCAGATCATGGCCCGCACGAACTTGGTGCGCTTGATGCGCTTGATGCACTTGGTGCAGTGCCCGTGGCGGCAGCTGTGCCTCGGCTTGCTCACGTTCTTAGTCACCCTGTGCTCCTTGTTGAGGCCCACGGTGATAGGGTACCGCAGGGCCGGGACTGTCCCTCCATGGCTCCCGTGGTGGAAAGGCTCAAATAACATTAATATATATGAGAGGTGACTAGTGCCCAAACCAACTGTAGTCATTCTTCCTTATGATGAAATACATAAACTTATATAGTGTCATTTATATGTTGTGTGAATAATATAAATAGAAGAAAGAATAAAACCTAAAGTACACCCCAGATTGTTAAAAGGTTCAACTCTGGGGGAATTCTTTCTATATACTAGATGGGAAAGCTGCCTAATTCATGGATCATTGAATAAAGCCAATTGGCCTTTAAGTAAGTTAAAAAGAAAAGTTAAAAAGATTCAACTTTGGGGTGCCTGGGTGGCTCAGTTGTTGAGCGTCTGCCTTTGGCTCAGGTCATGATCCCAGAGTCCTGGGATCGAGCCCCACATCGGGCTCCCTGCTTGGCGGGAAGCCTGCTTCTCCCTCTCCCACTCCCCCTGCTTGTGTTCCCTCTGTCGCTGTGTCTCTCTCTGTCAAATAAATAAATAAATAAATCTTTAAAAAAAAAAAAAAAGATTCAACTTTGGTTGATGGAGTTATAGGTGACTTAATTTTTTTTTTTTGCTTATTTATATTGTCTAATTGGTTCACCATAATTAGGTTACTTTTATTAAAAAAAAGCAAAGTTAATTTTTTACAGGTTGTTAAAGTTGGTTTAAAGGAGATAAACTCCTCTTTGGCATATGAATACAAAGCTTAAGTAACCAAAAATTAAGATTGAGTTCTTTTATTTGATATTGCTTAAATCTACTAGAGTACTTTTTCAGCTATGAGAACCTTTTGACATATATGAGTAGAAGTAGTAGCATTTTTTGGAAGTTGGTAATGGCACAAAAATCTTAATTTAAATGTACATTTATATGTAGATAAAAGATTTGTTAAAAATATTAATTGTGAAAATTCATATTTGCAATTTTAATTTGGTAGGTACGAACTATGGCTCGAGATTTATACGATGACCACTTTAAAGCTGTTGAAAGCATGCCTCGTGGAGTAGTGGTAACACTCAGAAACATAGCAACTCAATTAGAGTCATCTTGGGAACTTCATACAAATAGACAAGTATGTTATTTAGCCTCTAGATTTTATGGTACACATTGATCTTGGTTTAGTTTTCCCCCCCTTTATCCTTTATATTCTGGGTATTGATTAGTGGTCTGCAAATTATTACCCATGTGCTAAATTAGGCCTGCTATCTATTTTTATATGGCTTTGTGAGGTAAGAGTGGTTTTCATATTTTTAAATGGTTGAAAACAAATCAGAAGTGAGAGTATTTTCTGATACATGAAAATCACATGTAAATGTAATGATAGTGTCCAAAAGTAGTTTTATTGCTTACAGCCATGCTCACTCTTTTACATATTGTCTGTGACTGCTATGGTGGTGTGGTGCAGGGCAGAGTTGAATAGGTGTGACAGAGGCCATATAGCCTGTAAAGCCTAAAATACTTCTAATTGTCCCTTATAGATTGTTTTGTGCATGGGATGCCTGGGTGACTCAGTCGGTTACGCGTCCTGACTCTTGATTCCCGCTCAGGTCATGATCTCAGGGTTGTGAGATTGAGCCCCTGTGTTGGACTCTGTGCTCAGCCTGGAGCCTGCTTAAGATTCTCTCTTTCCCTCTCCCTCTGCCCCTCTTCACCCCTTCCCTCTCTTAAAAAAAAATTGTTTTCTGACCCTGGTAGAGATATAATTTACATTAATAATTTGAACTTTCTATTCTTATTTAATATCTGACTTATTTTCTTGGTAATTGATGTTGTGATAAATTAAGTATATTAAGACCTGTTTATTTTTTTGTCTTCATTAAAAAATTTTTTTCTTTTAGTGTATTGAGAGTGAGAACACTTGGAGAGATTTAATGAAGACAGCCTTAGAAAATCTAATTGTACTTTTGAAGGACGAAAACACAATTTCACCATATGAGATGTGCAGTAGTGGATTGGTGCAAGCACTTCTTACTGTTTTAAACAATGTAAGTTTATGAAGTAGTACAGAACAGACTATATAGTTCTAACAATTACTTGTAGCAACATTTTTGGCAAAGCAGTGTTTGTTTTGTCAAGAAAGATTTAAAAACTGAGGTAATAAATGTTAGTATTTATAATTTGGCCTTTCTTTTATGTCGTATCATTAGTTTAAGCCAATTGAATTCAGTAATTGAGTCTATTTAGATTTTTGAGTTTTCCAATCATAATTTATTCTAGAGTTTTTTGACAAAACACTTACTTTAGCCTAAGATTTAACATTATTCAGTGCTCTGATTTCTTCATAAAATGAAATTAGTCTGTAGATCTTCTTAAGTCCTTAAATTATTTGCATAAAATTAATTTATGAGCCATGACTGTTTAGGAAGTTACTATGACTATTTGACAAGTATTTGCTAATAACCTTATGTTTCTCTTCAACTTAGTCTACCTTTAATGTCTCTTTGTTGTGATAAAAATCTTTATTTTAATGAAACATACCATATGTACTTATTATAACAAATTCTAACAAAAGTATAAAAAGTGAAAGTTTTCTTCTATTTTAATTCTACATCCAACTTTAATTTTTGCTCTTAATCTCTGTATGTGGTAATACACTCTTAAAATTCATTTTAACTTCTATAAGTTGTATATTCCCTTCATTAATTTTACCATTTGCATAATTTCCATTTATTAAAATTATATTGATACATCACATTATATTACTTAGTGATATTTGTGAATCATTGTTTTGGTATACCAGTTATATTTTTTCTAATACTAATTAAAGTACATAGTATTATTAAAATGGAAAATGTTCATTTATAAATAATCTGAAATTACCTTGCGTACTACACTTTGGGAAAAGCTTATTTAGCACATTATATAATATTTAGGAAGTAAAAAAAAAATCTGTATGTTAGCTGTGATCTACAAGTTATATAGTAAAAAGAATTTTAATTGAAGGAAAATGATGATTTCACTTAGATTATATTGACACTTTTGTAATAATATATTAATGTTTATCTTTGTAGTGTGTGTTTTTGATAAATTTTGGTAACAGCCTTAAAATGGTTTTTTTGTACCTTTTTAATTTTTTGTAGAGCGTGGATTTAGATATGAAACAAGATTGTAGTCAACTGGTAGAAAGAATAAATGTTTTTAAAACAGCTTTTAGTGAAAATGAAGATGATGAAAGGTAAATCACTAAATTTCTTTAAATTTGAAGTTTGCAGCGTTTGAAAGTTGGTGTACTTTAAAACAGTCTAATATAGTGCTTATACACAAAAATGGGAACTTTTAAATTCAGTAAACAAAGTAGCTTTATATTTTATTTATTTATTTATTTATTTATTTATTTATTAAAAGATT